TTTTGGGTTGACCTTTTTTATTCCTTTGCATTTGATCGTTATGCAAAACTATTTTCCCTTTGTACGCAGGCTAATAATCCGCTTTTGCTACCACTAGAAAGCCATTGTTGTATACGTTAAGCAAGGTCTCAACCTTGTAAGTAGGAGATAAAAGTAGTAATACATCTTGATAAGCATACATACATGCTGCGATGACATGGCAGCAAGGAATACAAAAGGCTTAAAACTTTCCATAATCGCACCAACGAGATTGTAGTAGAACCCTATACTCTTGTCTTGGCAGCCTCTCGTTGTTGGCGACTGTCTCTTTGACAATGAACTTGTGGTTATGTCGGTCGAATCTTGTAACATGATGAGTGTTGGCTTTGGAAATCTTTGCCTTAATAAATTTCATGCAGCTTTCACTCCATAGTTGTCCCGATTGTAGCATCGCGTTCCATTTTCACCTCTTTTTCCAAATAACAGAGTCATCCTAAAATATGTTGCTCTCGACCTGTTGATCATCCCATATCTAGAATGTTCCGATTTTGGACGTGTTATTAATATTTCTAGTTGTACGATTGATATGAGGTTCTTACTCGCATTGTTGGAAAGGTGGAGACCCAAAACACACACCTTTCATCTCCTAATTGGTGAATGTATCGTCACACTAGAGGATGTGTACATATTATTGGGTCTTCCTATTAAAGGTAAGGCGGTGAATGGGTCAGTTCAATAACCCAATGCTCTATGCGAGCAAATGTTTGACAAAGATATGGTAGATGGAACAGGTGCAAAGGACCAAGGTATTTTACTAACGGATCTTAAAGAAAATTATGGCTCTCTTCAATTGAATGAAAAATTGTCTGAGGAAGCTAAAATAGTTAAAGCCATAAATTATATTATCATACTATTTGAAATCCTGTTATTCCCCATCAACGACATGTTATTCGTGTTCCCCTACGCAACCAAATAAGTCTATAACGCTATTTACTTTTTATGGATTTATGATAAATAGTTGTACCTAATTTATTATTTCTCTCTTTGCGGTAGGTTTTGTGTAAGGGGCATGGATTACAGCAAAAATTCAAGGCAAAATATCGCTATATATCATAATCTTTTGGATCACATCGGCCTAGATGATGTATGTATTTCGTCCAAACTTTTCTTCTCTTAATTTTTTTAAAGTTATAATTAATATAATATAATTTTATCTGCAGTTTCTTTGGAGATCATATTTGGGTCTGGAACATCAACCTAACCCTGAGGATGCAGCAGTTTGGACTGCAAAAACTGCAATCATACAGTAGAACATTGTGGAGATGCACCAAAGGGGCCATGTCAAAATGCAGTTCGACATACATCAAGATATACTGTATCCCCCGACTTGTTTGGCACCGTGGCATATCCTTAGGATCGACGTCCAATGGGGTTTTAACAACTGGAAAAAATTCACGTCTGATTGGTTTAAGATGTTGAAGAGGCGTCACCGACATGCCTTAGATTTCCCTGTTTATCCCGTGAACTATCCTATGCGACACACAAATTAATATATCAATTGATACATATTCGTTACTAACCCTAAAATGTTTGTGGCTGATCCAAGGTATTTAATTGACCCACATACACGATGGGCATCATCCTCAAATCCCAACAAAACTACCAACAACCATACACCACCACTACTACAAAAAACTCGTGTCACGTCAGACGCGAAATGTGTTTTACCTCGACACCTGAAGAGAGGTAAATAAGGTCGTCATGAAAAGTAAAGACTTATCACCTCAATGTTTAAAACACCAAGGGGTATTTTAATAGCGCATGAGTTCGATCCACATCGTCTGCATTTTTATTATTTGCAATTTTAGTGTCTCAAGTATCTCAGATTATCAATAAAACTGAGGGGTAAAGTATTAATATTTTTTTAATTTAAACTTGTTACATTGTTTACACAGAAAATTAATAAAGTAACTTGTGTACAAAATACAATATTTATCCAAAATATTAAACTGGTTACATTATTTACACATAATATCAAAATAAAAATCAAGTTGTCCATGAAGATCATATGTTGGATCTTCAAATCTTTGATATCCATGGGAAGATCAATTGCTAGAAACAATATGTTTTCAATTGCTTTTCCTTGCATTTGTTTATGATATAAACAAAAAAATGGTTAGATAAATAAATAACTTTATGTTCAAATAAACATTTAAGAACACAAACCTTAAACCCAAATAATTTTCCACTCTTGCAATCCATCTTAGAGAACTCTTCATGATCAGGACTCTTACAAATTTTAAAGTGGAGGGTAGTTTCAAGCGCTTCATGATGTTGTATTATGAATTTTTGATATTCAGATTTCTTTTATAATGGAAGTTATTTAGGTTTCACACATATCACTAATGGAAGTGTCTTGAGCGTTGATAGTCATGAAAATGGACGACATAGATTTGATTAAGGATGGTGATAAATATCCTCAAAATTAATGCTAAAATATCCCCTCGATTTTTAGGAAACCCGAGGTGAAATGTTTTTATTATTATTAATTTTAATTTACATAACTTACAAAGAATTTTAAAACACAATATTACAACAAATCCATATTCTTGGAGATAAATAAATCTTTTCTATAAGGAGTTATTGGGAATAAATTGTTTACAACAGATCTTTGGTGAAATCCTCAGAGATCTCATAGTCTTCGGAGTCCTCAGAGATTTCATGCTCTTCAGAGATTTGTTCTTAAGTGTTTCTAGGTCAAGAATTTTCATGGCAATGAATAGTGGTAAATATTTCCTCTATCTGTCGCGGCTACATATTAGTTAGAATTAGGATAAAACCAGTTTTACAAATTCCAGATTTTACCTCAGTTATTTTTAAAAACCGAGGTAACATTTGTTATAAACACACACACACACACACACACACACACACACACACACACACACACACACACACACACACACACACACATATATATATATATATATATATATATATATATATATATATATATATATATATATATATATATATATATATATATATATATATATATATATATATATATATTTGACAATTACATTGTTTACACAAAATATTAAAATAAATGGTTTACAATAAAATTTTTCTCTTTTGAATGAATATCTTCACTGATATCCATCATCCAAAGGCTCAACTCTCTTCTTTGTGTAAGTTGAAGCAAGAATATTAAAATACATTATTACAACAAATGCAGTGTCATCATAGTCGTTGTTATTCTTGGAGAATAACAAATCTTTGTTGTAATCCAGTTTAGTTCCATACCCTTGTGTGCATGCTTTTTAAGTTCAATGATTTGAATGCATCCATCTTCTAATAAGTTATTTGTTCTAAACATTAGAAAATATTTTTTCTACACCTGCAATCCATCATAGGAAGTTTATTCCAAAAATACAACAACAACATCAATACCATTATGTGAGATAGATTGCAAGGACAGAAAAAAATATTTTGTTATAGATAGAGGAACATTGAAGATTTTTTCTGTCTTGCAATCCATCCCAAAGAATGATGCATGCGAGTTTGGGGCGACTTCATATAAGTAAGGATTAGGGTAAAATTTAACGAGTGTTTTTATAGTAAAATCTGATTATTTTATCCCTCAGTTATATAAAAAATCGAAGGGTTATATCATTTAATTTATACTTATAAATAAATAAAAACATAAACTGCAATAGTTGGGATTCAAAGCGTGTCCTGACTTGCCTTTCCCCTTGATTATTTTAAAACCCGAGGGAAATTGTGGATTTTTATTTTTATAAATAATAAAAGATGGCGCGTCTTGCCATTTTACCTCAATTTTTCTTTGACAGAGGTGAAAGCTTCGTCATGAAAAATGTTATTTGTTGTAGTGCGCCCAACAATAACCCCAACAACAAACGCAACACACATCAACCTCCCACCAAACATAACGACGATACAAATCCACTAGCATCTAACCACAAACCCAAAATCAATACCAATACACATATATGCCCCCATACAATCCCAATATCAGGAACATCGACCATACATCTGCCATCCCAATGTGGGCCCCTCATTATCTCACCTTAGCCCAGACCTTGGCTTACCTGAAGAATATTCCCCAACCAACCCAACTTACCATCAGCCATCATATCACCATAGCACCCAACAATCACAGTATCAAACTCCGCAAGATTCATTTCCTTTTTACCCCCTTATTCAGATGACCAGTGGTATCGACCATCCATGGAACCCCACCCCGCACCAATAAGACCAAACTTAGAGGGCATGGGTAACCAACTCTTTGAAAGCGAATCTTTCGGATATGCTGATCTGACAGATTTCATGGATTCTGAGCGCATTGACTTCGCAGGGCCCTCGACCCAACCACAATAGGAAAATTGTCGAAACGCATCACGAGTTATGCGAGGTTGCGAATGCGGAACCACGGGTCGTTATCGAATCCCGGAAGACATTTAAGTAATATGTAATTTTTATTCCCATTATGTAATCGTTTCATTATTATTGAAAATCGAAGTTTCAATTCTGCGAAATTGTCTTTTATTCTTAAAAAAAAAAGAAAGGAAAAGGAAAATAGCACATAGACGCCATCTGAGAGGCTTACGACTTTTCACATGCAGCTAAACGTCATCTCATTTGACGTGACCTTTAAAAAAATGAATGCATGCACCATTTGAGATGACTGAAGCTTATATTGTATTTCTAAAATATAGTTATTTGCGTAATTTTCTCCGAAACATGATTATTTATGTTTTTTTTTTTTAAAATTTTTTTTTAGTGATGAATGAAAAAATTGTCACATGATAATAATCAAAATTATGATTTATATTTAATATGTTGGGAGAAGAACTCTGGCCTTGCCTTAATGAATCTCAATTATTTGAATTGACTTGATTTACCCAAGGAAAAAAGAAAGCTATGGGTGAGTATGTAATGTACTACCACAATGTTTGTACAGTGTAGAAGTAAACATTGACATGTGAAAGAAACATGAAATGAATCCTCGGCATCTGGAACCTTATATAAACCGCCAAGTCTTAATCAATGTTCGAAACATCCTACGTCTCATTTCCAAAACAACTCAAAACCTAATCATGTCCCAACCACAACCCTCTTCTTCTTCTTCTTCTTCCGACCCTCCACCTTTCGATCCCAACCAACCCTCCATTCCTATTTCATACCCAATCAAAACCCTCCAAGACCTTCAATCTCGCTCTTACTTCGATTCCTTTCACTACCCTTTTAACATATCTTCAGTTCCCATTTCTTCTTCTGAACTTCCCAATAGACGTAGATTGTTGGTTTGTCATGATATGGCTGGTGGTTACTCTGATGATAAGTGGATTCAAGGTGGGACTAATCCCGATGCTTATGCTATTTGGCATTGGCATTTGATTGACGTTTTTGTTTACTTTTCTCATTCGCTGGTTACTCTTCCTCCTCCTTGCTGGATTAACACCGCTCATCGTCACGGTGTCAAGGTACTTACTTGCTTACTTGAACTTTGTTTAGCTGGTTATGGTTATAGTTCAGCTCATTTGTTTCAATGTCAATTGATTTGAATCTGAAAAATGGGTTATTCTTGAGTTGTTCTTGATTCTTTGATATTTCAGGTGCTGGGCACTTTTATCACCGAATGGGATGAAGGAAAGGCTACCTGTGATGTACTCCTTTCAACAAAGGAGTCTGCACAAATGTATGCTGAACGTCTCGCAGAGCTTGCTGTTCGTTTAGGCTTCGACGGGTGGCTAGTAAATATTTCGCTATCTCTCTTTGCTTACTTATAGAGTTTCTAGTTTGCGGCAGCACATTTGTTAGATTTTTTGTTAACTGTTTGTGTTCGAAATTTTTAATTGCAGATAAATATGGAGGTAAAGTTGGATCCGAAGCAAATTCCTAATTTGAAAGAGTTTGTAGACCATTTGTCGTTAACAATGCATTCCTCATTGCCTGGATCATTAGTGCTGTGGTATGACAGTGTTACAATTGACGGTGAACTGAAATGGCAAGATCAGCTAAACGAATATAATAAGCCGTTCTTTGATATATGCGATGGAATATTTGTAAACTATACATGGGAGGTATTGCTTATCTTCCTTCTGCAATGATGATGCTTAATCAACTGTTGTTTTCCTTAGTTAGTTTTGTTATGTAATCATATAGGAAAGCTATCCAAAGCTCTCTGCTGATGTGGCTGGTGATCGGAAGTTCGACGTTTACATGGGAATTGATGTATTCGGAAGGAACACATATGGTGGTGGACAGTGGAATGTATGTAGTCTCTGATATACATATATGGCAATAGAGTTATATGTCAGCTATTTCAGTGTTAGATTGTTAATTTCCTATTTTGGTAATTATAGTAATGTTTGTTTTTTCTAATGATTTCTTTAATCTGTTATGAATGTCTCTCAGGCAAATGTTGCTCTTGATGTAATAAGAAAGAATGAAGTCTCTGCTGCAATATTTGCTCCCGGATGGGTCTATGAAACAAAGCAACCACCAGATTTTGAGACTGCTCAGAATAGGTAATATAGCTATTTATTTTGCAATACCGTATTACAATTTTGCTATCACAAGTTTAACTAATTCAGTATAGAATAATATATTAGCATCATTGCCATGCATTCGATATTGCAGTTGGTGGGGTCTTGTGGAGAAATCTTGGGGAGTACTGCAAAATTATACTGGACCACTACCGTTACATACAAATTTTGATCAGGTTAACAATTGCAAAGGCATATAACTTTTTTGATTAAATACTCTTGTATCCCATCTTTCAAATGTATCCTATCTTTGTTACTTCAGGGACGTGGTTATCATATTTCAGTTGATGGAAACAATGTTTCAGATGCTTCATGGTGCAACATTTCTTGCCAAGGCTTTCAGGTATGAATCATTGCACCTATTATTAATCATTGTTGTTAGCTCTATTATTTATTACCAATTAAAAATTATATTCACCCTTTCTTTGGTTAACCGATTTAAGAGCTTTTTTTTGTGTTGCAATCTAACTCAGTTATTTGCTTGCAGCCACTCCTTCCGCTTGCTGATCCTAGAAATCCTATTCAAGTTACCGTAGAGTGAGTGATGACACAAATCTAATATTTTAAGACGTTCTTGTAATTGAAAACTAAACAGAATGTATATACGACATATTGAATTAGGAAGATTTTATGTTGTCTTGCTTGCAAATTGCAGCTTGAAGGAAGCATCATATAATGGAGGGGGGAACATTACTTTCAAAGGATCTCTTGAAAAGCCAACTTACTTTGAGAAGAAAATCCTTCAAGGAGAGTTTATTTTGAGCGAGTTGCCGATCCACTTTACTTATTCTGTAAGTTACAACTTCCTTATCTTAATTGATGAAATAACTACACTTCATCTACCAAAAAATATGCCATCATACAGTATTCCTATCGGAACACTCACTTTTCTCACACGAATAATTGCATAATTGATGCAGGTGAAATCTAATGGCAATTCTTCGTTGGGACTTAAACTCGTGTTCACTTCAAACAAAGACGAAACAGTTTCTGCATTTCTCACATCGCAAGAAGTGCATAACTTCTCAAATAAATTCGACAAAGTCATCAAAACTCGTGAACAGAAAGGGTTTTCCTCTGGATGGGCTATAAACGAAAGTGAAATTGAAATGAACGGATACACTTTAACCGAAATCCATGCAGTGTGCTACATATCAGATTGCAAAGATTTTACCTCGGCTTCTCCATCAGACTATTATGCACTTCTTGGTCACATCACAGTCAAGAGTTCTGACTACAAGCCGAATTTTCCCGTTTCTTCTTCCTGGCTAGTTGACGGTAAATTTATAAAATGGACATCTGGTTCCGAAGGTTCGAAGACGCTTAGCATTAAAATTTCATGGACACTGAAAGATGGGAAGAATTATCTCTCTCTGAAGTACAACATCTATTTGGTGAAATCATCAAAACAAGCAAGTGATAGTCCAAGTAGAACTTCAGAATCTGTGAAGGAGGAGTACCTAGGAGTAGCACAAGTAAACTGCTTTTATGTTTCTGATCTTGAAGTTCCTTCAGATACTTCTAGCCTCAAATTTATAGTACAAGTTTGTAGTGTGGATGGGACAATTCAGGCATTGGATGAGTCTCCATATTATGAATTGGAGGTTGAAAGTCCCTAAATTGTAGTGTAACTAAAATGTAACATTATTTCTTCAATAAAGTGGCATGCCTTGGAGAGAGTCTCTGACAGAGGGAGAATCATCTTGGAATTTAGCTAAAGTTAAAGTGTAACCTTCTCTATAAATTCTCCCATTATATGTATTACTAGGATTTTCAAGAAATGTTATTTGTTCATACTCTTCAATATTTGCTGCTGTTTGTGTTAGATTTTTACCTGACATTTGAAGTATGGTTTAAATCCTAAAGCATTGTACTTAGTTATGAAAATTGTGAAAGAACGTAGTGACCAACAACAGCTTGAGTTTGTTATACAAGATTCGCCGGTAAAAAATATATTTACAAGAAATGATGGTAATCATGGAATTTAAACTCCTTTTATTTTAAACTCCTTTTATTTTAATGGTCACATCATTGCAGGTAACTATTACCTAATGGGTTTGCAAAATACTCTAACTGTAATAAATGGCCTGTTCTTCATATCATGTTTATGTGTTCAATTTGGTCTTGAATATTATGCTTAACTGTACATTACCATATAGCTAAGTACAAATATTGAATGATGTTCATCATAACAAATTGCTTTTGTATATCATGTTGAAAATAGAGCCGTGACATAGTCAATCAAAAGATGAAAACAATGGTAAATTCTGACACACTAGTTTCAAAAAGCCAGATTTGATGGATATGTTCAAAAACAAGTGTACTTCTCAGATTATATATAAACATATTTCTAAACTATGAAAAATATCAAATACTCCATTCGTTTTAAAATGAGTGTCATTTTAACAAATAAAATTTATTTCAAAATGAATGTTATTATCACTTTTTAATGTAGAAATGTGTTATTTTTTCAATTGTGTCATTTAATTATTACTCTTTACACTATTTTCAACACATTTATAAGGTTAATTTAATAAAAGTGCAATGTCTTATGACAATATTATTATATTTTTTAATTTGTGTGCAAAAACTTTAAACGACACTCATTTTGAAACGAAGGAAGTACTAGACTATACTTTTGCATATGTAGTTGTTCAATATCGGAAAACAATGCATAACCTTTTGGAAGCTAGCGGGAACAGACCATTCAGAGTCGTCTCAAGTTTTTAGAGGCTATGTGTAATTTCGTAATTGCTCATTCATGACAAAAGAATTAGAGACCCTATTTAACCATATTTTAACAATGATAAAGATTCATGAAGCTTTATTTAGTTATAGTTTAACCGTTAAATATTTAAGGCCCTGTGCAGTAGTCCGCCTTGCACACTCTCAGAGACGGTACTGAGACCATTTTAAACTTATATCTCCATTGCATTTTCAATTTTATAAGATATCCTTGGGCATTGAACCTACTATGAGGATATCATGTCCTATAGACTCAATATGCAGAATGACCTTGCAATTCTCGCATGTACATGACTTTAGTTAGTTGTAAATTGGCCTACTGTATTTTCCTCTATATAAAGCACCTATATTGGTATACTGCACATGTGAGATATTGAATCGAACTCTATTGGATCGAAGAGTAGCTTCTGGCTCGACATAATTTATGTATGTCGCCGAAGTATGTTCACATGCTGGTGTCAAAGACCCATATACTGTAGTTGAAGTGTGTTCTAGTATGTGGGTGTCAAAATGCCAGGGTTGTTAGTATTTTGAACTGGGCCTGTTTGTTATGTCCAATTGTTTAAGTTAGCTTGTACCCTACGTTAGCTTGTAATGGTATTTGTGAAAAATCTCATTAGTTTAGTATGTTAGGTTTATTATAAATAACATACTAGTCTCTCATCATTGTATACTGCAAATCCTAATTCAGGGTGAGAGGTTATTTATTATTCTTGTGTATTTGTAATCTTGTTTGAAGAGAAAGTGAAGAATAATAGTTAATAACCAATCTTTGTTGTTCTTCGTGTTTTTCATTCTTTTCTATCCTTGTAAGTTTCTTGCCTTGAAGAACCCTGTTATACTTTGTTTCAAAAGTATCGTGTTTCACAATAAATTGGTGCGGTGAGCATGGAGAAGATGCCTTCAACAAAGTATGAGATTGAAAATTTCACTGGAGTGAACGATTTCGGTCTGTGGCGCTTAAAGATGAAAGCCCTACTGGTTTAACAGAGTTGTTTGGAAGCGTTGAAGGGAGTGACGACCATGGATATTGCGTTAACGGAAAGGGAAAAGACAACCATGATAGAGAAAGCTCACAACAAAATCTTGTTGAGCCTTGGTGATAAGGTTCTTCGACATGTATCAAAAGAGACGACGACATCAAGGTTACGGGTGAAACTTGAAAGTTTGTACATCACCAAATCGCTGGTAAATCGACTCTACCTGAAGCAAGCTTTGTATTCATTCAAGATGATTGAAGACAAAGTGTTGGTTGAGCAGTTAGATATGTTCAACAAGCTGATTCTTGATCTTGAAAATATTAATATGAAGATCGATGATGAAGATCAAGCGCTGTTTCTATTGTGCACTTTGCCCAGAACACATGCTCACTTCAAAGAAACTCTCTTGTATGGAAGGGAGTTCCTGACCTTTGAAGAAGTTCAATCATCCTTGTATTCTAAGAACTTGAACGAACATAAGGAGCATAAACCTTCGATGGTTGGTGAAGGTTTGGTCTTTAAGGGAAAATTCTTGTGAAAGGATGGTAAGTTCGACAATAAGAAAGGTAAAAGTCAGCAAAAGTCTTACAATGGCGAAGCATCTGATATTCGATGCTATCATTGTAAGAAGGAGGGTAACACAAGAAAGGTGTGCCCTGAAAGCTTGAAAGATCATAAAGGTAGGGATAATGGCAACATAACTATTGTTCAAGATGATTTCGACTCATCTGATGTTCTTGTGGTTTCGAGTAACAACCCGTCGAAGGAGTGGATTATGGATTCTGGGTGCACTTGGGACATGACTCCAAAGAAAGACTTATTCGAAGAGTTATGCGATCAAGATGGTGGATCTGTATTGCTGGGAAACAACAAAGCTTGAAAGACTGAAGGTGTTAGATCTGTGAGATTCAAGCTCCATGATGAGTCAATAAAGTTATTGACTGAAGTCAGGTATGTACCTGATTTGAAGAGAAATATGATTTCTCTTGGTGAAATCGACAAGAAAGGATATGTTTTCCAAGGAGAGAAAAATATCCTAAGAGTCATGAAGGGGTCGAAGGAAGTCTTGAGAGGCGTGAAGAAGCAAGGCTTGTATACCCTTGAGGCTGAAGTTGTAAGTGGTTCGATAAATATTGTATCCACGAAACCTTTGTCGAAGACAGAAATTTGGCACATGAGATTGGGCCATGTCAGTGAAAGGGGTCTGGTCGAATTAAGGAAATAAATTTTTTCTTGGTGGAGACAATGTCGAAAAGCTGAAATTTTATGAACCATGTATACTTGAAAAATCTTGTAGAGTTAAGTTCAACAAAGGAAAACAAATAACACATGGATCCCTTGATTACATCCATACTAATCTTTGGGGGCCTGCAAGGCGTCCATCACATTCAGGAGCAAGGTATTTTCTATCCATAGTAGATGATTATTCCAGAAAGTTATGGGTATTCATCCATAAGACTAAGGATGAAAGTTTTGAGAATTTCAAAAGTTGGAAGACTCTGGTCGAAAATCAAACTGGCAGAAAGGTCAAGAGGTTGAGAACCGACAATGGACTTGAATTTTGCAATGAGGATTTCGAGAGTTTTTGTGCTACTTATGGTATTGAAAGGAACAAAACTTCTGCAGGTACTCCACAACAAAATGGTTTGGCAGAAAGGTTTAATTGAATTATTTTGGAGAGAGTTAGATGCATGTTAACTAGTACTGGGTTAAAGGTGTTTTGGGCTGAGGCTGTTTTGATAATAACATATCTGATAAATAAATGTCCTTCTACTACGTTAGATATGAAGACACCTGGAGAATTTTGGTCGGGACTGTTGTGCCCCAAAATTTTCCCTCTCATTTATCAAGTATTTCTCACAAGATCTCCTTTGGTTCAAGACTGCACTGGGGTTGATCAGCTTAAGACACCTCCTTAAGCTCCGATGACTGAAAATTAGGGTTTGAGATTGCACAAGGATAATTGAACTTTTAATGCCTCATATGACTTTAATGGATCATTATGGATCCTCAAGATTGCTCATGTCAAGTTTCAAGTCTTGGATCACATTTTTGCTCAGTCAATTGATCAATTGACCTAAAAATCAGCTGTATTGGAGGAAAAGTCAACTGTGGCCAATTTACAACCAAACTTCATAACTTTTGATCCATATAAACATTATGAACTCATATATGTCATTTGATCAAGTTTGGACCACAATTCCTCAAGAAATTTGATCAGATCATCAAAAGGGCAAAATTATCAAAATTAGGGTTTTGATTGAGAAAAGGCAATTTCTGATTTTTGACCTAGAAAATGATTGATTGGTTAGAAACATGATCTCAAGGATTCAATTGCATCATTTTTACCTAATGGAATTGACTCAAAACATTGCTCAAGGTCATTTGATTGATAGTTGATTTTCAGTCAACTGATCAAAAGTCAACTGCATACTGAAAAGTCAAACTTTGACTTTTTGGTCATAATCAAGTGTCAAAGATCACAATTCATAAAATCATGTCAAAATATGAAACTCGTTCATCAAGAAATCAAAAAGTCAAGATTTCATTTTGAAAAGTCAAAGTTTCCAAACTTAGAAAATTTTCTAAGTGTTTAAAACTTCATATTTTTCACAACTTTGAGCCAAATTTTCACCATGATGCAAGATGATTCAAAGGAAACTTTCAACATGAAAGTTGTAGATATCAATGATATATAAAACATTTATTTACACAAATCTTCCTAGAAATTCTTGGATTTCAAGTTATTAATTCATGAAATCATCATGGTCATGAAACTAAAACACAGTGAAAATTTGAGCATTTTGGTCAGGATTTTGACCTAACTTCTGGGCCAAGTTTCATATAGTTCCAATTGGATTTTGCAAAAGTGATTCAAAGAGGGGTTGTAGAGA